CCCGAGTCATTGGTGTCCAAGTCGAGTCGCAAGTGTTTTGTGATTTTATCAAGTCGAGTCCGAAGTCATCAAATTGGTGAATCGAGTCCAAGTCATGTGACTCGAGTCCACACCTCTGTTATTTACCGCTGTTCAAATGGCAGCGAATGTTTTCCCCTAAAAGTGGGCTGGGCCGCAATTTTGCCAGGAAGTGACGTAGGTGTTACTCTCATCTATCCTGTGATCTCTCTGAAAATAAAATAATATATAAAATTATTCTAAAACATGTCATGCTGATAGAGAGTTGTTTCTACTGAAGGTGTTTGAGCTAATTCTTCCTGACCTTTGAACCCTCATAGAGTGGAGCTCCTTAGGCTCCACCTATTTGTGTTTAGTTAATGCTGGCATCCCATAAACATATAATCAAATGTCAACTACTTATATTATGTGTTTCTAATTGAGCACTTTTCCCTCCTGACACATCTCCAAAGTTAACCATGTTAAAATGAATTATACATACAGCACTCTCGGACACTAGCATAGAAACTGGTGCGTTTTATTATTTGTACATATTTATTGCACATGTAGAGTTTGCCATAACATGTGTGTGTCCTCAGTTAACAGCGTGTGTCCATGGGTCGACGGCCATGTTGTTTCCAATGCACTGGCAGCATGTTTACATCCCTGTCCTGCCGCCACATCTCTTGGACTACTGCTGGTGAGTATGCTATTAGCAGAGGTGGAAAGTATTGGAGTAGAAATACTTCGTTTCTGTACTTAAGTACATTGTTCTGGTATCAGTACTTTACTCCACTAATTATTTTTCTGTCGACTTTGTACTTTGACTTCTTACATTTTGAACCCAAATACCTGTACTTTCTACTTCTTACATGTTGAACCCAAATACCTGTACTTTCTACTTCTTACATGTTGAACACAAATACCTGTACTTTCTACTTCTTACATGTTGAACACAAATACCTGTACTTTCTACTTCTTACATCTTGAACACAAATACCTGTACTTTCTACTTCTTACATGTTGAACACAAATACCTGTACTTTCTACTTCTTACATCTTGAACACAAATACCTGTACTTTCTACTTCTCACATTTTCCAAACAGGCTGGTTACTTTAGTTTGAATGTGTGTTTGGTGATAAAATGCGTAGTAAAATGCTTTCTGTGCTCGATAACCCAGCTCTTATCTCATGAATAAGTGTTTTTTTTTTCAGTGCCCCAATGCCCTACCTCATCGGAGTCCATTCCAGCCTGATGGAGGTAGGTGGTATAAGCTCTTTGAAGGTCACCTATTATACAAAATCCACTTCTTCATGTCTCTTCTACATCAACATGTGTGCCCCCCCCCCTTATCACCTGAATCTCCTCCTATTGATGAAAAACAGTATGATAGGTGACCTTTAAGATTTAAACGCAGTTACTCACTTTTCACCCTTCACAGTCTCGTTGTTTCTGAAGCTGGCTGTGTTTGTGTTGCTGGTAGAAAGTCCGAGGGCTGGCTCTGGATGATGTGGTGGTCCTGAACGTGGACACAAACACCCTGGAAACCCCCTACGATGACCTCCAAAGTCTGCCTAATGATGTGGTGAGTAGGGAGGAACTGCTGTACAGTGCACAGTGCCGTTTTAATTTATTTAATTTATTTAATTTATTTTATTTATTTATTTTATTTTATTTATTTTATTTATTTATTTATTTTAATTTTATTTATTTATTTTATTTATTTTATTTATATATCTACACTGTAGCTATGTACACATGACAATAAAAGCCTTGAATCCTTGAGTGCCGTTTTTTAAATATGGATGCAAGTATTCACTGATAATGACTGCTGTGACTTCTTGTCGTACAGGTGTCATCTTTAAAGAGCCGGTTGAGGAAGGTCTCAACGACCACAGGTGACGGCGTGGCTCGAGCGTTCCTCAGGAGTCAGGCGGCTCTGTTCGGGAGCTACAGAGACGCCCTGCACATCCAGTCGGTCAGTGAACTGCACACCATAAACATAAAGGATGCATACAAAGAGAACGACATACCTGAGCCTGTCATGTGACTCTGGGTATGATCATTTACCAGCTTCACGTGGTGTATGCGCATATGCTTTAAATACATTTTCACCAGACAAGACTGTACTACAAAGAGAGTGGGTTAGCAACGGAAAAACCAAATAATGACTGTCTTAATTCAAAGACTTCCCATAGTACACTGCCTTGTCGTACAGTGTGAACAAAGTGTGTGAATTTCAACTACCGTAATTTTCGGACTATGAGCCGCGCCTTTTTTCCCATTTTTCAACGCTGCGGCTTATATAACGGTGCGGCTAATCTATGGATTTTTACAGCTAACGGCCACTAGGGGACCTCCTAAATCTATGGATTTTACAGGTTACAGTCCACCACCTTTAACTCTATGGGCTCTATGGCCGGTCCGCGCCCCCCACCTTTAAGCGGCGGGCTCCAGCAGGAAAAGCTGGAGGCCGGAAAAGAGTGAGACAGGTAGCGCGCAAAAGTAAAAGTGGAACCGAGAGTGGTACGAGAGACAGAACGAGAGCAAGACAGACAGACATTACGAGAGCGAGACAGTTTGTCCCCGTACCACTGGATGGAAACCACTGCTGTAGATCACTGCCGGTACGTGCGCTGGGAGCGCACCGTTTAAGTTTGAAAGTTGAAAAGTTTGTGTGTCTGAAATGCTATGTGATACAGTACAGTTTACACAGCACAGTACATGTTCTGTAGCTACTATTGCACTAAATGGTAACACTTGAATACGTTATGCAAATATA